CAAATGGTATATGGCTACATCTCTCTACATGCACAGATGACAGCAAGAGTAGTGAAGGCCATTCTGGTAGTATCGTCTTCATCAGAAATCCTGCTCTTACTCTGTACTGAGATCTGAGCTCATCGCTATCTAGGCCTGAGCTATGTTAAGAATATTGTTGAACTTGAAAATTTATAGATATATAGATCCTAAGTAACAGCTTGTCTTCAATTCAACTTCTAAGTGATTTGACAAATGTTGGGGGCAAGGCTGGCATGTCTATCCTGAACTTGATTTCTATAGGCTTTCAGTTAATTCCGAGGTGCACATCCAATAGATTAGAGATAGTATTTAGATTATATTAGAAATTTTATTTCTAAATTTAAGTGTCAAAATAGTAATCATTTTTAATATTCTTTTAGTGATGCCACTTTAAAAGCAAGAGGATGCCGTTTTGGAAGTTCTGAAATTTACAATGTTGGTAATGTAAACCTTCCGTATAGTAACCAAATGTTAATTAATTTATCAAATTTAAACAATGATAATTACAGAAATAATGCAAACTATGATAATGGCAGCAAAAAAGTGTAAACTTATATAATGATTGTTAGCTAATTTTTTATATAACGTGTTAAATCTTTCTGTGAAGCTTAAAGTAAATTTTGTATAATAGGCTCGCAAATTAGCGCATTATGAAGCTAAAAATCTCCAACTTAGAAAGAAGTAAGAAAGTTAAGTAAACATTTCTGTGAAAAAAAACTGAATTTTATTTCATTTAATTATTACAGTAAACAAATTTCCCGAGGTCTACGACAGTCTTTGTGTTTCCCAGTTCAGCAAGAATTTAGTCGAAAGGGCTGTGCTTTTTGTAAAGATGAAAGACGGCTATATATTCAGTGACGAAATAGTCAACAAAATTCGAGTTGCAATTGGGAACGAGTTGACGGTTCGCCACATTCCCGAAATTATTTTAGAAACAAAGGATATACCTGTAAGTATACAATTGTTACTATAACAAATCTGGTTTGACTAAATAAAATGTAATATTTTGTTTATTTTCATAAATTTAGTTTCTATAGCCTTAGTACACAGTTAGTCTTTAAAAGATTTAGAAGAGCTAAATCTTTTAAGGACTTATTGTGCACTAAGTCTTGTTCAAAGACAAGGTAAGTAAATTTGTTCAAGGACAATTTAGTTACCTTGTCCGAGGTCCTTGAACAAATTTATTTTGCATTTGACAAGAGTTTCACCTGATATAAGTAATAATCATGTGTAATAAGAATGCGAAAAGAAATAGTCACTACTCCAATATTAAATATTCGATGATAGTTGATCTAAAATATTTTTTATGGTTGTTTCTCACGGTTTAATTAAAATGGCACATAACTCTGAAACAGCTCTTTACCAGACAGTGATTAATGCAATCAAAATCACAAAAACAAGGAACCGCCGTCAAAGAAATACTAACTTAAGATCACAGCCAGCTTGCGACTACAAAAAATAATCAAATTAATTTTCTCGCAGACTCCTGAAGGAAAAATTATATATTACAATATACTGCTCCTGAAGGAAAAATTATATATTACAGTACTTCAGCAGTTTTTAAAATGAAAACTATTCTATTTCACTTCTTTAATTATGTTCTAATAATAAAAGAATGGCATTATAGTAAGAACGAAGTTTGATACTATTTAAGTAACTGTTGTAGGAATACTAACATAAATTATTTAAGGTTTTATTTAAATAAAAAATTATTTTTATATTAATTCCTTTCTCTCCTTTCTGTTTTCCGTCTGCCTTCACCAGAATGCAAATTCGGTACACTTTAAGTAGCACATGTAAGTATTACTTAACTATTTGTATTAGCAACGGTTAATATTTGTTAATCAAACTAGTTTCTATGCTGATACATGTTAGCAATGGTTTTCATGAGCTACAGTTTTATGATTGATTTAAAAGTTTTGATGAGTTAAGTCTCAGTTAGCTAGAGATGCTCAGTTAAAAATTAAATATAGATTGGATATTATTTAGTACTTTGTGCTGTACAGTTTTTAGAGACATTAGGTTATTTTGTAGCAAGAGAGATGAAAAATGAGCAATACCTCGCCGAAACTCACGAACCTCTCGAATAAACATCGAGCGTGCTGACCACTACACCATGAAGGCGGGAGAAGTACTTTATATACTCCCCCCTCTTAAAAATTGTATAAGAAACGAGTATCAAGGCCCTACCCTTCACTCATATCCCTACATAATATTCTAATGTATCACCCACGGATATTTGTGCTTTTGGAGTTTTAAAAAGGTGAATGGTCCTAATGTTGACCAGCTACCCTCCGCGGACTTTGAAAAGCTGTTTAAGAAGAATGGAATAAAATATCTTTACCGATATTAGAAAAGGCTCCATTGTTTTGAAATTATGGTGTAGAAACATAGTGAAGACTAAAGTTATCAAACAGAACACTGAAAACTAAAAAATGATTGCAATATATTTCGATAAATACAAGTAAAATCGTCTGAAAATGTACGAACAGCCATTGTATTTAATAACGTAATATTTGAAAACAAGTTTATTCATTAATATTTTTATTTTTTTCTTAGTGCAATATAAATGGAAAGAAAGTGGAAATTATTGTCAAGAGAATCATCAACAATATGCCTTATGATCCAGAAAGTGTCATCAATCCACAGTGTTTGCAAAGCTTTTGTAATATTCCAGAATTGCAAGGTTTTGATGAGTAAAGACCACATAAATTGAAACTCTGCGAATAGGTGAAAAATAAATAAAGAAGGAGCATTTTCGAAAGAGAATATTTCTTTTTACTTTTCTATTTCATTAATTTGCATCAAATATGGAAATTTATGTATTTATGAACTTTCTTTGTATAACATGAACTCTGTTCTCTGAATGTAGTCTGGAGTTCCGAATTAAAAGCATTATGTTTGGAAACAAAAATAGGTATCTTTATTTTTTTAGACATGCAGAAATGGAAAGAATCACATTTAAATTTGAGAATGAAGCATACAATTATGATTTAAAGTTAAGCTGTAAAAATATATATTTAAAGTCTAAATTTTAATATCTTTTTTTACTCCAATATTTTATTATTTGTATGCATTAAAAATGGCCTACATAAGCGGATCTCAACCTTTTGACTAACGCGTACTATCTAAACAAAATTTGAAACACTTTAGTTTTTTTAACACCATTACATTTTACAATGAATATTTTTCAATTTCTGAAAAGAAATATGAAAAGAATCTGAAAAGAAATATTAAAAAATGTATGTATATTTTGCCATTTGCACAACCTATTGGCCTATTAAATATGTATACAGAAAGCACAGCCTATTAAATATGCACACATGAAAAATATTAGATTAAAAATTGGTTCCCATTTTAATTATAAAAATTTAAGTTATAATGTACTTTAATTCCAAAATTTAGTGTGAAGTGTGGGCTTTTAAGGAGAAAACAAATTCCTTATGTCTGTTCTTTTTTCACTTAGTTTTAACGGTAAAGTAGGATCCAGTTTTAATTTTATTCTGTATTTATTTTACAAATATAACATGGAAGAAAACCTTGATCATACTAACAGATTCCGAAAAAAAAAAATTAATAGCTTTATTTGAAATGCCTTTAAATTTTCCTTTTTCGGTTCAGCTAAAAGTTAATAATTGTGTTATTTTTAAAATCTTCAGTTAGAGCTCGATCCCATGAAATTTCTATTAATTGTTCTTTTTATTTACGAGATAAAATTTCAGGTACATTTGAACAAAATGGATTTCTAGCCAAATTCCCTTTTCCACAATCCTCTGGAAAATATATGTTGAAATCATTTATCAATGAAATACAACGATTTTTGATGTAGGATGCTAATTTTTCTTTTATTTTCTTTATAAAACTTTCTAAAAGTGGTAAAAACCTTAATTGTTATTATCCAGTTCTTTGATTATTAGCTCGAGGTTTTTATAATTGCATTTATTTTATCTCTAATGGTAAACAAATTGACGCTTTTTAACACTTTGTCCTTGCAATCCTAAATTTTATTCAATCAACTTTCCCAAAATATTATCTAACTATGCTAAACCGCCATCCACAGTTTACCAATTAAACATTTTTGCATTCAAATTTTATTTTGATAAAATTTGAATTTCGGATCGAAGTTCAAAAAGACGGTTTAACCTTACTTCGGAATATAACGTATAAGTCGTTTCATGGTCACTGCCCACCTCTTGGCAGAAAATAACAAATGTTCTTGAATATAAAGCTCGGTTTTTAGTAGATTAGTAATTTCCACAACTTGATTTAAAACGCTTTCCAGGTTTTCGGGGATTGTTTTGGCTACTAAAGCTTCACGATGAATGGGGAAGTGCGTAAATTTAGTTTTAGACGAGACTTTCGTTATTTGATAAATAACACCGGAATGTTTTCCTGTTAAAGCCTGAACTCCGTCACTGGATAAGACAATGCACTTTTTGGAAGGAATGCCATTCTTAGACATAAAATTGTCAATTACTTTTAAAATTTCATTTGAAGTCACTCTATCATGAACAGATTCACAAAATAAATACTCTTAGGCGATTCGTTTACCTTCTTCGAAACGTATGTAAACTAATAATTGAACAAAGTTCGTTACATCAATACTTTCATCCAATTGCAATGCTAAATACTCACTGTGTTTTATTTTTGAATAAGTGTCTCTTTTACGGAATTTACCATTTCATGAATTCGTCGACTTGCTGTATCATTTGATAACAGACTATTTATTAAGTTCAGTAGCGCATTTTGTTGAATAATGTTATAACGATATCTTTAGCTACTGGTAACATAAGGTTTCCTCCAATAGTTTGAGCTTACGCAGTCTTGTCAATTCTTAGGCTTAGTAGGTAACTAAATTACAAAGGTTTTTCACTTGAAGTAACAAAACCTTTCATTACTTGTTTACTATTTTTGAACTCAAATAATTGCCTCTTAAGTATTCTTCAGATTTATCCTTTTAATTGGCATGCTTGGATTCAAGATGTCTTTTAAGAAACGATGGTTTCATTCTTTGATTAAATAATAATTCACCGCAATTCGAGGTAAATCCATCAATAACTTTCATTATATTTTCTATAAAATTTTCATCTCTATTCCGAGTAAATCCAAATGATAAATAACTTTCATTATATGGTCTATAAAGAATTTTTCTTTTCATTTCAATATTCTTAATGCTAGCAGATTGTCCTGGATCCATCACCTGTGAATCATCACTTTTCCGCTTAATCATCCTAGCCATTTTTCCATTCTTAAAATCTAGGTTTGTTTTATTATTTTTTCACAAATATTTAAATGCACAACACATTACGAGATTTTCAAAAACAAATGACGATGTTCTCAAATCGCGTAGAAAATTAAGAACTACAAAGCAGCAAGAAGACGAAATACTACCTGCTGTTAGAGAAAGCAAATTGACGTAAAAGAATTATTCCAATTGAAAATAGAGGAATACGAGCCTGAAAATGATGACGATATAAGTGTAGACATGCTAATTAAACGACCAGCTCTAAAAGAATGAATGAGATACTATTATTTTTTATAGGAACTTGTTTTTATTTCCTATTAAATATAATATCCATTGCTACTCCTTTTGAAAACGTCGTTTCTGCAATTTTTCTCTTGCGTATCACCAGTGGTACGTGTACCAACCGGTTGAGAATCGCTGGTCTACATTAATAGATGATGTATTTTTACTCTTCAAAGATTAAGTTTACTTTTATATAAAACAAAAGAAAGTAATGATATAAATATATGTACAGATAAGCTGATAAAAGGCTTAAATTTCTGTAACTATTTATTTAATTAGGTCAAATATATTGTAACATTAACTTAGAATCCAGAAAATATTCTGTGTTCATTTCACTCCTTCAGTCAGCCACTTAGATTAGACGCTTGTAGAGACATTAGGATTTTTTGGAAGCAAGAGACCTTGCCGGGAATCGAATCACGGACCTCTGGAATACCGGCCCAGCGCGCAGAACCACGACGGCAGGCTAGGAAGGCGGGAGAAATACATTGTATACTCCCCCTCTAAAAGGGCGATTGGGTTTTTTTAGAGGACCCAGTAGCCAAATCCTGGGTGAGGAGAATCATCACCTAACACCCTTTTAGTTCCGGCGCCATTGTAGAGACATTAAGATTTTTTGGAAGCAAGAGAGATGAAAAATTAGTAACCGCCTTCCCCGGGAATCGAACTACGGACCTCTGGAATACCGGCGCAGTGTGCAGAACCACTACACCAGGAAGGCACACTAGGAAGGCGGGAGAAATACCTTATACGCTAATGAAACTTTTATGTGTGAGATTTGATTTAAATTTTACTAATAGTGAGCTTGATTCAGTTTTTAATGCATACTTCCGTTATCTAGTCGCTCAATTCAGAGGTTTATGCAGACTTTAATAACAAACGATGTAGGTTTAAAGGAGGCAGAAATCGTAATCGGTATGATAAGAAGTAGACGTTTGGTCAGCTGCCACAATATTAACTAAATATGCTAAACCGTCATCCATCTCTCAAGGCTGCTGCTAGCCTTGAGAGATCTATGGGCACTCGACGTGAATAAGACATTATTAGTCTGAAAATTTCAAAGCAGACTTCGATGAACGTTTAACGCGATGTCATGTTTTTAAGTAGATTGATCAAATTTATTCGAAAAGAAAGGAATTTCAAAAATTGAATAGAAGAAATGGTATTTGTATCTAGGAAGAATGATATTCTCCTTATGCGATTTCAGATTTAGGTGATTTCAATAAAAACGGTTAAAGGAGTCTTATTTGAGATTCCAGATAAATATTTTAAAATTTAACACGAAAAACGAAATTTAGATAACCATATGAATCTCAAGCTCATAAATATTTTCCTTCCATCTGAATTTTTTTTTCGGGGGGGGATGGAAAGGAATTTTGAGATCACATTTTGTCTATATATGATTAGCAAAGTCAGGATGAAAAGTGATGTAATGATGATAATTTTAATCAAATAAACCCAGCATTCTCAAACATTTTTCAAGTGGGAACTACTTTCATAAAATGGAATGTTCTGCTTACCACCTTAGACATTTAATTCAAAAGCAATTTTTTAGCATATCTTAGTGAAAATATGCTTGTATTTTTAAAATGTACTTAATTAAAACTTGCTCATTTTATATTTTTATTAAGTAATTATGTTAGTGTAAAATAAAGTTTAATTAGTCAGGGTTATTATTATAATAAAATTTAATTATTCAGGGTCATTATTATAAAGAGTTTCGACAATCTCTGCATTATAAATTTGTAGAGTCATTAGGTCTTTTTTTTTTTTTTTTTTTTTTTAAAAAAAAAGCAGTAGAAATGAAAAATTAGGAAAGCCTCCGCCGGGAATCGAACCACGGACCTCCGGAATACGCGCCACACCAGAAGACATGCCGCGAAGGCGCTTGGCACATTTTACTGCAGACACATTAGGACCTTTTTTTGAGGCCGGGGAGATGAACAATGAGTGTAACAAAAGTTTAATGTATTTAGGATATTGGGTGTTAATAATTGTTAAGTAACTTTTTCCATGTTTTACCCCTGCATGTAAATAACTATGTACCATAGAATATTTTCACGCGCCCCTGTGTGGAGTAGTAAGTGAAATTTTAATGCAACTAGTGCCTCAGTCCTTGATATTTAGGTAATGTTTGATTAATGTAGGTATAATAGTATGTTAGCTATTGATTTTTATGTAACATATGTTTAATGTATCTATGATATCTGTGTTGGTATGTTATATTTCATCATATCTCCACATATAATTGTTTTATGCATTATCATCTTACTGTTTCCATATCCTACCCCTGCATGCATACAGTAGAACATTTTATCTTACGCCAGTCAGGCGCAATAAGTGAAATCTAATGCACCTAGCGTCCGAGTTCTTGATATTTATATTGA